GCAGAGGAGGATCAGCAGGAGACACCATAGGCTGCAGCTCTAGGAGAAGAGGAGCAGACTCCCAAAGATCTCCCTAAGTGCCTGGATCATCGGCCAACCTCTTTCCTCAAAGGCAAGCCCTAGAGCATTCTAAGTCTCCCATGTTTTATAAAATATTACTTGAGTCATTTATGTTTGATGAATTAGGTTATAAGGGTTGATTGGAAACACTTAATGCATAGAACTACCTTGTCCAGTTATATATACCTTTAACCCTATGTAGGTCTACGATCGAATGTATGCTTAGCCATGCTTAGACCGGTAGAAATCGGGTGATTTCCTGTCACCTGCGAGATATAGGTGAATACCGAAGCATGGTTGGCTATATTTGCTATCGTGGAAAAGAACCATGAGGTAATGAAAATGAAGGCTAGGCAGAGTCTATGTGTAGGTGGACTCATGTGATTCTATCTACGTCGATTAAGGACCATACTGTTGTTGGCACTTCTGACAAGATTGAACGCATGCCTCTCACTTAGCTGGCCAGATAACTCGTTCCGACCGCGAAGCCGAGTAGCTCACCTCAGGTTGGGCCCCGCTCTGTTAAAGTGCGCACTCTAGATGGTAGTAAGGATGTGCGGGGAGCTAGCCATGAGCCCAAGGGTAGTCCTGATCGTCCTGGTAACTGGTAGTCCCTGATTGTGCGGCGCTGGGCGAACCCACGAAATGTGTACCTGAGTTGTACCAAAGGTGACCTAAGGTGACCGTTGATCTGGTCTGTCTGGGTTTATGTTAGGAATAAATTCCCAGCTGGTTGAAATCGATTCGAATCACCATCCCTCCCAGACAGTGAGAAACTTGGCTAGCCCCAATATTGTAGTAATTATGTTATGAAATGTGATGGTTCGGACGAACATGGAATTACTACACCAGTTATGGTTTCTATTGTATGCTACTAAATAATATACTGCATGTTTTGCACAGGTTAGTCGCTAATCTAGAGAGGAATAGCTATAATTAACTTGATGACCGAATTATAATTGTACAATTGAGTTAGTCGCTTTTTACGCAAAATGTTGTCAAGCTACCTTCACTTATAAAACCTTGCATAATCCTTGGAGTCACATTATTTTTGGTTTATGATGGGTAAGTCTAGCTGAGTACCTTCTTATACTCAGGGTTTTATTCCCATTGTTGCAGATAGTACAGTTTATCACGGCTATTGCAAGAACTACTTCTGTCCCATCGTGGAGGAGGAGTGAGCCATGGGTAGGCATCTCTTATTAATCCTTCTTATATGCTTTTGTGGGAGTGTGATCACGAGTTGGCACTGTATTTGAACTATGATGGTAGTTGTTAGTTTCAAACTTTTAATTTGCTCTCGCTACTATTTACTGAACTTGGTTTGTAATAACCTTAATTCGTACTCTGATGAATGAGCTGTATTTGTAAACTTTATATAACATGTGACATGTATGTTGAATCATGTATGATCTTGGTTGTATGTTGATGGTTAATCGAGACCCATCATGGTACTCGACGGACTACCAGGTTTATATGGGCTCAAGTATGATAGTGCGACCGCTTGCGGGCTGCCATTGTACTTGTGCTCTTATAAATTGGTCGGTTCTACTACACTCGTGGGTAGCATATGCTTGATCTAAGTCTAGATAATTGACAGATATAATATGAGAAAGCCTGAGCTGCTATTTATCTTGTTCTAAGTGATACTAAATTCTAGAGATTTCTTTTAGAAAACATAAAAATGCTACATGATGAGATCTTGTATGACAAAGCTTGAATTCCTACTAGAGTCATACATGTTTATTTAGGCTAGAAAAACTACCACTTATATGCTACTTGTTTTGCATGGAGTTTAGTCAAGCTTTGTTGACCCTTATAAGAGGTTTGTCATGATCTGAAAATCAAGATCACGTACACACCACCCACATATGCACTACTCCTACACCAGGGGTAGGCGTAAAAACATGCTATTCCATCTAAATCCTCCAAAAAATGTTTTACTCCTACACTGGGAGAAAACACCAAAAATATGTTTGATAGGTTTTTCACCAATTAAATGCTCTAAGTTCTTGTTGTTATCTCTCAAAATTTTACTACAGAAAAGAAGCATGGGCTATGCAAGAGTTATTCATAAAAAAAGAAAGAAAAGAAAAAGAGAATTGAAAAAATTGACAAGTGTCCAAGATATTAAAACAATGGGTACTTAGATGCCTGCCAAAAAAAGAGAGATGAATAAGATAGCACATGTTGTCTTGCAAATGTTTTCAAGTTTCAAATGAGAGATATATTTTCAAGGAGCATAGTAGAATTAGGCTAGCCACCATAATATCCACCATATTCCACACACATACATATCTTAATTTAAATGTATGACTCAACTCTCTTTGGATCCGAGGTTTGACTTTACCATATATGCATTACAAGTATGCTCTTTCATGCTCTCTATTCCTATGAGCTCCACATAAGCCTTAGTTGTAGGAAGAGAAAGACATAACGTTATTTTTGCCTTGGTGAGGATCCACAAATACCATATATATGAGAGACTTGAGAGTGTCATATAATGGAATATCTGAGTTTTATTCTAAAACTTACAAAAACTCTAGAATGATGGTTGAACAAAGTACTTGAGACATAGTACTTGGCTTGAGTGTTCTGTCTTTCAATTACTCAAGACCCAAGTGAAGGCTAAAAGGCCTATAGTTGAAGGTAATATAGGTAAGTTTGAAAGTCAGATCGGTTGATTCTAATCCGGAGGAGAATTCTTGTTTGAACGCATTTGATCTTTTGAGGAGTGAAAACATTGATGCAACTCCAGATCTATTGCTGAGTTTAGCATTGCTCAGGGACGAGCAAAGGTTAAGCTTGGGGGAGTTTGTTGATGGTAGTTACCATCCATCATGAACCATCAACATAACTTGAATAAATGCTTGAAAATGATCACCAACATAGACTTAGGGGTTTAAACTAATAATTTCCATGAGTTTTAGTGAATCTGTGTTTTTAGGAGGGTTTATCCAGAAACCCGTCAAGGTGGATCAAATCGTCAAATTAAATCATGATTATCCGTGACGTAAATAGCACCAGAAGGTTCTAGAGGACACCAGATGACTCCACACCGAAGATGACCATGAGAGACCTCTAGGTGGGGCCGACTGGCACCCTAGTCCCACTGGTCAGCCTCTGCTTAGATGTCAGTTCCTCCACTGCCTCTTAGGTTGCGTCTATGCCGTTCTTTCAAGTCAGTTTGATTCGAGGGCTCAGAATTGATGCTCCGGCCTATATATACCATCCCTTGCCCCCTCCCTCAGGTAGATAAGTCATAAGTCAAGATCAGATCAAAAATTAGGGTTTCCAGAGAGAAGAGAATAGATCTTCAATTCTTTAAGATCTAGTATAGGCTAGCTAGCAAGATTCAAGTAGAGTTTGGGCTATTGCTCAGGATTTCGGATTCACCATCTAGAGGCTGGTATAGCCACTGTATCCCTCTATATTTTATGACTTTGTGCTACTTTAATACTATGTTATTATTTATTATGTTCCTAGTTTGCTCTAGTTGTATGCTAGATATAGTCATGATTGATAATGAATTTATGCATATGTTCGCAAAGCGCTTAGCTCAGTACTCGAGTGAGTTATGTGGTCGACATTATGTAAGTGTGGTGCTTAAATATTGTTTACCTGTGGATGCACTCTACACTCTACACTCTTTGTTGAGTCCTTTGTAGTCCACTCCCTGTTTGTAGAATAAGTAGAACCTGGTTGTGAAGGGAATCAAGCTATGTTCTTGATCTTCCTTAGTAATGTTCCTTATGCATAGATACAGAGTTAATTATGCTATAGATGAGAGTATATATACTTGGGTGTACAAAAGATTTAGTAAATAAGAAATAACTTAGGAATCTTTTGCTCTTAATTAATCTCCTGCCTAGCCATACTACATTTATGAGAATCTACTTCTATCTCTAGATTACTATCAATGTCTTACATTTACCATTTATTTATCATTTGACTTACCCCTACTATAGTATGAGAGTGATGATCTTATCATAAGTATATATATTTGTCAATATCTCTATGCCACCCCATAGCTCCTCCCTGTGGAAAAATATAAATAACGATACCTGGTATACTCCCGGGTGAAATGCTACAATGGTATATTATCTGTGCACTTGTGGATTACTTTAACATGTATGATTTTCTCTGAGTTTATAATTGTCATTAATAATTACCAAACAACGCATTTATGACATCATTGCTAGGGATGACAACTTCATAAGAGTGATACTAAGAAATGCCAACAGTCAGGCTGGGTCGGGCGCCTGCTGGGCTACTTGGGCAATGGACGAGTGGGGGACACCAAGGCCCAAGTGGTGGTTGAGGAGGGGAGTAGGGCCTGAAGGGAGGGTTGGCTAGGCTGCTATGCTCCTAGGCCAAAAGGGCGATTTGGGCTGCGGGTGAGGGGAAGGAGGCCAGCTGGGTGAGGGGCTTAGGGCCCAAGAGGAAAAAGGGATTTTCCATTTTAGCTAAGGGGATTTTCTATTTCTTCTAAGGGGCTTTGGTCCAAACAACTAGCTAATCCTACAATCAAACAATGAACTCCCAATAAGATCCAACTCAAGGCTCCCAATTATGTAATTCAATTATATGTTGTGCATGAGTTTACAAAGTATTAGTCTTGAAGTTAGGCCGAGAAGGGACGGAAGGTGTTCGACTTGGATTCGACCTAGCGACTACATGTAACACACATTGCCGATTTTTTTTAAAGTTCATATTTTTGGTTGCACAAAACCCCAGGATGTTACAATTATATTAGAATTAATTATACAATGCCTTCAGTGGATGAGTTAAAGAGACGGGCTTATTGCAAATATCATAACTCCTTTTCTTATGCCACTAATGATTGCAATGTTTTCCGTCGGCAGGTCCAATCGGCCCTTAATGAGGGACAATTGAGTCTTACTGAGATGCAAGTTGATAAGTCCCCGTTTCCCATACATATGGCTGAAGCAGGGGCACCCGCTGTTTTGATTCGTCCAGAACACGCTGATAAAGCTCAAGGCAAGAATGTGATTATCGACGAACCACGTGTAGCACCGAATGTCATAAAGAATTTGGGGCGCAAGGTGGTGCTTGAGAAGGATGATGAAGGCAAGAACAAGTTGAAGATCAACGTAGTATTTGAGAAGGCAGCGGTGGTATGAAACAGCAGCGGCACAACAGAGGCCAGCTAGGCCGACTCCAGCAGTCGGCCAAGCCAACTCATAGCAGGGCCAGTCGGCCAAGCCGACTCAGCTCCTCCCAGTGCAGCCAAGTCGGCTGAGCCGACTCCCCTAGTTCTAGCAGCCCCAGCACTTCCGGTGTTCATGTTTTGTGCATTTTTGTTCCACAGCGGCTAGAGATTGGAACATGGAAGACTAATGAGAAGAAGATCTAGGGAGATCTCATGAAGAAGTAGTGCACTTTTGACAGGCTCATGACCAAGTATAACCAACAAAAGGCCGATTCTCAGAATTGGTCGTTAAAAAAAAGAGAGTCTACTCCACCTAAGCTAGAAGATGACAAGTCCAAGCAATTGGCGGTGGTGCAACAAGCATCTCCACCTTAGAGAGTTGCTCCTCATGTATCTCACTGGGGTCCCCCGATTCCACCTCCGGTTACACTGCAATGGGGTCCCTATAGAGTTTGGGTGCCGTATCCCCCGGCAGCGCCTATGCATAGTCAGCAAAGGTGGGGAAAGCCTATTGGTCAAGTCCCAAGAACCTCAGTGTTTAGCCGATTGAACCACGGTCAATCGAGCACCGATGGTGCAAGTCAAGACTTCGTGGCTCCGCAAGGATCGGGAAAGGCACCAATGCAACAAGTTTATGTGCCTAAGAAGGTTGAGACTCCTGTTGTTTCCCCACCAAGAGCTAGGCCTCAATCGGTCATCACAATCGGCTCCATGATGGGCCGATTATAATTGAAAAAATTCTAGCATCTAATCAAGATGAGGCTCCTAAAGAAGTTGTTGGAGTTAAAGAGAAGAAACACACTGAAGGAGATTCCAAGTATTGACAACCCATATGGTGTCCTCGTGGGTTGAATAAAACTCAACGGTGTAAGTTGCAGCATGCTCGGCATAAGCAACAGAAGAGGGAGAAGCTTGCCAAGATGGAGAGTGAAATCTTTAACCCTAAACACATAGAAATCTCTCCAGAAGATCAAAGTGTTGCTCCTGCTGCTGGCTAGTTGGCTCAGCTGACTTCAGAGTCGGCTAAGCCGACTCCTACTGCTGGACAATAGGCTAAGCCAATTCTAGAGTCATCTAAGCTGACTGCCACCCTTGCTGCTGCTCTAGATACTACATAGTTGTCTTAGCTGACTCATGAGTCAGCTACTCCGCCTGCCCCTGCCGCTCTAGAAGATCTAGAGTCGGCTAAGATGGCTTTAGAGTTGGCTGAGCCGACTCCCACTGTCCCGGGTGCCTCCGAGGTGTCCTCTAATGATTTCGCTTCCACTATTGCTGCCCTGGTTGGTATAGAGGTCCCTGAGGTTCCCGATGAGGAGATGGTTGGTTATGAGGCCACTTCGGAGAGGGTGGAGGTCAATGTGGTCTATATGTCCACTGATTACTACATTCTTGGAGATGATTTGGCGATGGTGAAGTCTAACTTTGTGACAGAGAGTGCTGTATTTCAGAAACCAGATGACTCCATCAACCATCTCAAGCCCCTGCATGTGAAGGGCCATATCAATGGCACTCTGGTTCATAATATGTTGGTGGATAGTGGGGCAATCGTGAACTTGATGCCATATCTGCTTTACAAGAAGCTTAGTGGCACTAATGAGGAGCTGATCAAGACAAGCATGGCGATAAGTGGTGTTGGAGGAGGTGCTCCCATCTCGTCCAGAGGAGTTGCTAACATGGAGCTCACCATTGGAAGCAAGACTTTGGCTACGACGTTCTTCGTCACCGACATGCAAGGTAGGTATAACTTGATACTTGGGCATGATTGGATCCATGCCAATTGCTGTGTACCATCTAGCTTGCACCAATTCCTTATACAATGGGTGGGAGATGCTGTTGAGGTTGTGCATTCAGATTCATCGGCTAACGTTGCTACAGCCAATGCTCCTACACTCGGGGGGCACGATGCTATTGCCTGCTTGTCTGGTAGAGATCTTTCTAGTTATGAATTTATTAGTGTTACTAAGTTAGGCTTTGTTCCTGTAACTCTAAAGCTGATTGATAATCGGCTCAATATCATCATGTAATCATTTATTGTAATGGATGCCAACATTGAATGGTTAAACACATCGTGTTGAACAGTATCTGGCTAATAAGACCGATGCCTGTGAGGCTATTGATGATTTTGATGAGCTCGATAAGTTGGCCAAGGATTTACATCGGCTGACTTGTTGGAACAAGTCGATATTGGTGATGGCTCTATGCCCCGGTCGACGTTTATAAATCAAAACTTTGAAGCCGATTACAAAGTTGAGTTAACCGCGCTTCTCAAGGAATATGTTGATTGTTTTGCATGGAATTATATAGAGATGCCTGGATTAAGCCGAGAGCTTGTTGAACATCGGCTCCCCATTAAGAAAGGATTTAGGCCTTTCGAGCAACACCCTCGTCGCTTTAATTCTACAATCTATGACCAAATTAAAGAATAAATTGATCGGTTGTTGCAAGTGGGGTTTATTCAGCCATGCAGGTATGCAGAGTGGGTCTCTAATATTGTGCTTGTTGAGAAGAAAGATTCTAGGAAGATCAGAGTCTATTGATTTCAGAGATCTGAATAAAGCTACTCTAAAAGATGAATATCCTATGCCTATAGCTGATATACTTATCAATGATGCTTCAGGATACCAGGTTATTAGCTTTCTTGATGGTAATGCCGGTTATAATTAGATTTTCATGGCCAAAGAAGACATGTCTAAGACGACCTTCATATGTCCTGGGTTTGTTGGTCTCTTTTAGTGGGTTGTGATGATATTTGGGCTGAAGAATGCAGGCGCTGCTTATCAAAGAACTATGAATTTGATTTTCCATGATCTAATTGGGGTGATTATAGAGGTATACATTGATGATATTGTGATTAAATCGGCTGCCCATAAATCTCATTTGGCCAATTTGCATCTTGCTTTTGAGAGGATGCGCCGCTATGGATTGAAGATGAACCCACTCAAATATGCTTTTGGAGTATCAGCTGGGAAGTTCTTAGGCTTCATTATTCATGATAAAGGCATAGAGGTTGATCCAAAGAGGATAGAGAAGATCAAGAAAGTTCAGGGTCTACATGCAAGAAGGACTTGCAAAAGTTCTTGGGGAAAGCAAACTACTTGAGAAGATTTATTGCTAACTTGTCTAGGAAAATTATTCCTTTCACCCCCATATTAAAGCTGTAGGATGAATCTGAATTCACTCGGAGGGCAAAGCAACAAGAAGCATTTGAGAAGATAAAGGAATATTTGTCAACGCCACCGGTTCTTCGTGCACCTAGAAGACGAGTTCCTTTCAAATTATATATTGCTGCCGAAGAGAAGATAATCGAGACTATTTTGACTCAAGAAGACGAAGGTAAAGAATATGCGATTGCTTATCTTGGTCGCCTTCTTGATCCTGAGACACGGTATGCCTATATAGAAAAATTATGCTTATCACTGTACTATGCTTGTGCTAAGATGAGACATTATCTTTTGTCTAGTACATGTGTTGTTGCTTGCCAGGCCGATATGATAAAGCACTTGTTATATCGGCCAATTCTTCATGGAAGAATAGGCAAATGGGCATACGCACTAATTGAATATGACTTAACTTTTGAACCATTAAAACATTAAAAGATCAAGTTCTTGCTGATTTTATTGTTGAGCATGGTATTGATTCAGATGATGATATTAGTTACCTTACTTTTACCTTATGGAAACTTTATTTTGATGGATCAGTTTATAAAGATGGCCAAGGTGTTGGTATTATTCTTATTTCTCCCAATGGTGCTAAAATTGGAATGTTAAGCTAATTAGATTTTTATTGTACCAACAATCAAACCGAATATGAAGCTCTGTTATTCAGGTTGATTATGTTGTGTTCCATGGTGGTAAAACATGCTGAAGCCTATGGTAATTCTTTGCTAGTGGTACAAGAAGTTGCTGGTGAATTCCAATGTTTAGAAGCATCACTAAGAACTTGTCTTGATGCTTGCCTTGATATTATTGACTATTTTGTCGAATTTCGAATTCGGCATATTTCGAGGCATGAAAATCAAAAGGCCAACATGTTAGCTCAACAAGCATCTGGCTATGACGTCAGTGGGCGTAATTTTCATATTCAAGAATAGCCGATGCATGAAAATTTAAAATTTTCTTGTGCAGGTACAGACCAGTTGGCTAAGTCGACTTCCCCTCTGCTGTGGCCAAGTCGGCTAGGACGATTGCCTTATCGGCTAGGCCAACTCCTCCAAGTCGGCTAAGCCGACTGCCCCAGTCGGCTTAGCTGACTCCCCTGTGACCAGCCCGGTCAATTCACCTGAGAAACTCCCAAATCGGCCCGATGTAACTTCCAGTGATGTTGGGGCCGATTTAGAGGATTAGAGGACTCCCTTGCTGAAATATTTACGTGATCCAAGTACTAAAATTGATAAAGGTGTTCAGCGGAGCGCTTTCAAATATGTGTTGTATAATGATGAACTCTATCGAAGAACCGCCGAAAACTTGCTGCTTAAGTGCTTAGGATCTGATCAAGCAAGAGTGGCTACGGGAGAAGTCCATGAAGGCATTTGTGGTACGCATCAATTAGCTCCAAAGATGAAGTGGTTATTGCGTAGGGCCGGTTTCTATTGGCCTACCATGATGTCTGATTGCTTTCGTTACTACAAGGGATGCGAAGAGTGCCAGAAGTTTGGGAATATTAAGCTTGTGTTTGCTACTATGCTTCATCCTATCATCAAACCATGGTCTTTTCGTAGTTGGGGGCTAGACTTTATTGGCCAAATACATCTCTATCTTCAAAGGGATACTGTTTTGTGTTTGTTGCTATGGATTACTTTACAAAGTGAACCGAGGTAGTTCCTTTGAAGAATATGACACATAAGGAGGTAATTGAGTTCTTCACTGAGCATATTATCCATAGATTCGGCATTCCTCAAACATTAACTATAGATCAAGGGACATCTTTTGTGTCTAAGGAGGTGAGGGAATTTGCCGAATTATATAAGATTAAGTTGCTCAATTAATCTCCATACTACGCTCAAGCCAATGGCCAAGCTAAGTCTAGTAATAAGACTTTGATCAAGCTTATCAAAAAGAAAATTGAGGAAAATCCAAGGAGGTGGCATGAAGTTTTGTCTGAAGCTCTGTGGGCCCATCGCATTTTAAGACATGGTGCCACAAAAGTTACTCCTTTTGAGTTGGTATATGGTCAAGAGGTCGTGTTACCTATCAAGGTGAATTTGGATGCATATAGGCTTGCTAAACAAAATGATCTATCTGCTGTTATGTATCATGATTTGATGATGGATAATGTCGATTAGGTGACTAATGTAAGATTAAAAGCTCTCCAAGAAATAGAGAAAGATAAGATTCGAGTTGCCAAGGCCTATTACAAGAAAGTCAAGAGCAAATATTTCCAAGTGAGAGAATTAGTGTGGAAAATCATACTACCAATTGGATTGAAGAGCAATCAGTTTGGCAAGTAGTCATCAAATTGGGAGGGTCCTTACAATGTGATCAAAGTCATATTCAGAAATTCCTATCTTCTAGAGACATTGCAAGGTGAACATCTCATAAGAGCAATCAACGGGAGGTACTTGAAAAAGTACTTTCTAAGTGTTTGGCAAGAAGCCTAAGGCTCTCCAAGCAATGGCAGATACATGTATTGCTCTTAGAATAAAAATGGCCAATGTATACATCGCTCTTAGTCGCTGAGCAGCCAATAAGATGGGTATCGTTGCTGTTTGGTTTCATTTTTTATTGATTAAGTGTTTTCAGATTCATGCATCATTTATCTGAAAAAGGGGACATATGTTGACATAAAAAATGTTCCAAGGAGATTTTAGGCATCATGGATAAGTTATAAACATTATGGATATGCTTGAGGTCAAACGACGTGACAAAATACTGAACAAAACGCGCGGAGAAGACGGTGAGCCACCGGCGAGCCAGGCCAGTCGGCTAAGTCGACTTGCCTAGTTGGCTAAGCCGGCTCACCCCTCAAGTCGGCTTAGCTGATAGTCGGCTGTCGGCTAAGCAGACTCCTCCTGGAAACCGAGTAGGAGACTTTATAAAATCGGTTTTTGGTATATTTTCGACGTGGCAAACATGGAGAACACGTTTTGGAGATGTTTCCTACTGGGATAAGATCACCCCTCTCTATATATGAGAGGATCACGGCCGATTGAGTTCCCATATATTCAATCGTCAAAAAACCAATCTATCAACTCCTTTTACCCCTTTATTCCTCTCTCTATCCCTCCTGCTGTTCGGCACATCTTCTGGAGAGATTTGTCGACATCCTAGACAGTCTTGCTGGTTCTAGGGGATTCTCCACGTGCTCCTCCCCGACAGGTCTTTCCGGGAGTAGTTCGGGAGCTTTTTCAGAACGGGCTTTACATTAGTCTTATCAGTCCATAGATTGGTTTGATCGATTACACTGCATTCTTGCTGCGTTGCAGGTTGTGTATAACTCTTTCGGCGTTAAGGCCCTCGCTGATGCATTGGCTCGGAGTCATCTTCAAGGTGAACGGGAGTAGACGATTCAGACTTTTTTTTTTTTGACCGTGCACCAAACTTTGTATGTCACCTTGTTGCCGGCGATAAGCCTTGAGCCAATGTACTATAATAATGGAAGCACCTGTTTCCGTGTTAAAAAAAAAAAACCCCCAAAAAGGCAACCGACGTATGGGACGCGCAACGGCGGAAGCCGGAAGCGAAGGAACGTGGATCCCCTGCTCGGGAAGCGCGACTGCGCCAGCACCACTCCCCCTTCCGTCAAAAAATCCCAAACCCTAGACGAAGCAGCCCAGTCGCCCCTCCACCTCCCTTGCGAGGCCGCGATGATGCAGATGCTAGGCCTCCGCGGCTCGTCTAAGGACCGTGGCCGCCGGGGCGACGCGTCCCCGTCCTCGTCCTCCGCTGCGGCGGGGGCCACAGGGACCCCGCGCTCGCCGTGGATCCGGGCGTCGGCATCGTCGCCGCGCTCGCCGTTCGCGGCGGAGGCGGGCGGCGAGGGCGGGGGCGGCCGGCCGCTGCGGCTGGTGTACTGCGACGAGCGAGGCTGGTTCCGGATGGACCCAGAGGCCGTGGCCGCGCTGCAGCTCGTCAAGGGACCCGTCGGGGTCGTCTCCGTCTGCGGCCGCGCGCGCCAGGGGAAGAGCTTCATCCTTAACCAGGTTCGCCTTCCCTCTCTCGCCGTGGTCGAAAGCTGGTTTGGCATGATTTCAGTTCCATTTGGAGCTCGAAGGAAACATGAAAATTTTGTGGGTTTTTGCAAATTACAGACCATCAGAAAAAAATTGCAAAGTGATGGATGGTGGAAACCAAAAAAATTTCCTCATAGTATTTCTGCCCTGCTCTATATGCTGTCCTGGTGTTTTTTTGAACGTCCTCTTTTAATTAATCAGTTTCGGTCAAAGTGCTGGACTCGCAACTGACAAAGTTTTGATTAAAACAAAACTCACAAGATGGTTATTAGTTCACTTTCTGGAATTGCTATTGAAAGGAAAACCTTAAAACAATGCCTATCACCATAGTGTTGTGATAAATAATTTCTCGTGTGGATATTTGGTATGAAACTTGGCACATTGTCTGCTCAAGTGGACATGGACCATTTGTTCATGTCCGGATATGGAGCTGTAAGGATAGGAACATTGAAAAATAGGAGAAATAATAACGTGGTGACTTTTTGTTTTTGAAACATAACATGGTGACTTTGCTCAATTGTGATTTAAGTTGATAAGCTCTAGTTAAAGGATGCTCTTTTATATATGGTGACATGATTTTGTATAGATGTACATGGTTGCAAAATGATAGCTGAGCTGTATCATTTGGGTTCTTGGCATAATAATCTGTTACAAAACAACAGTAGTTTGATGTTTTAAACTTGTTTTTTTTTATGTATGTATCATCTACATTATGTTTAATAAAATAAAATTATCCCACCATTAAGATCTGTTAATTTTTTTTCCAAAAGCGGAAAAGCCCTGAGGAATTTGGCTTATTTCTGGGCTTGTGATAGCTTCTAGGAAGAAGTAGCGGGTTTCAAGTGGCAAGTACTCATCGTCCCTGCACCAAGGGCCTTTGGATGTGGAGTGCCCCAATAAAGAGAACTGCCCTTGACAGAACTGAATATAGTCTTTTGCTACTTGACAGCGAGGGCATCGATGCCTATGATCAGACGGTATGACGTACCTCAGTGATCTCATTTCATTTCCATGCAGTTTTTTTCCTCTTTTACAGGGCACTTTTTTTTCCCACAAACTGGAAAAACACTAACCATTGGTGGCATTTTTCCCCTCTTTTACAGGGCACTTACAGCATTCAGATATTCTCATTGGCAGTCCTACTATCGAGCATGTTCATATATAATCAGGTGTGAGCAATGGTTTCTTCTTTCCAACCCTTTTGTTGGAGATCTGTCTCGAGTTCATCCCTAATAATGTTGGAACTGTTTCATGTTTGCACTTACATTAATTGATAACATATGGCCATTACAACAATAACACTAGCATCATCAAAAGAAGCTCAAATACAAATAAGAAAAGGAAATGGGCTTTATGTATCTGGTTATCTACATCAAACAGCTTTTATGCTCTTCCAACGAAGTTTCTCCTTCCAACTATGTTTCACCAGAAAGTAGGTGGGTGGCAAATAAATTCAGACAATGCATGTTCAGCAAAATATGCAGTCAATCAGATGTCTCATTTCTGTATTGTTTATTAGGCTAGATGGGCTTCTTGATCTGTGATGATATCAATGGCCTGACTAATGCATGTAAGAAGGAAAATAATTGGTCATTGTGATCATTGCTAGGAGGAAAGTAAGGATATATATCTTGTTTAATTTAAAACAACGGTGGCTTATATTCACCAAGGTGGCAGAATATGAACCATTTTATGTAGGCGATCTAATGGCTAGAAATAGTATCTATCCTTATATTTTGAAATATATGATAATGCAACAATGTGAGCACATGGATATGACAAAAAAACTTTGCAATGTGATTAATCTGTTTCATCGAACATGTTCAAGGGAATAAAAAATATTTCTTATTGTCCCTTGCAGATGGGTGGTATAGATGAGGCAGCCCTTGATCGCCTTTCACTTGTTACTGAAATGACCAAGCATATCCGTGTGAGGGCAAATGGTGGGAGGTCTACTGCATCTGAACTTGGGCAGTTTTCACCTATTTTCATCTGGCTACTGAGGGTAACTGGTTCCCTGATTTTGATAATGTCGTTATTATGTATTTCTTTGATAAACTACCAAAAGAGTTTTTCCCCAGTCTTAACTAGATATCGCTTTGTTAGGATTTCTATCTAGATTTAATGGAGAATGGTAGAAAGATAACTCCACGAGATTACCTGGAAATTGCACTGAGGTCTCTTGAAGGCAGAGGAAAGGACATATCTTCAAAGAATGAGGTATTCTGTCATAGTATATTCCAATTTATTTGAAATTTGTATAGTGGTTTCTATTCTTTTGGATTTTGTAGATGTGCCTTTTATTTTATTCTGTTTGCATTGCTATTTACAATTTCAATTTCATATGCAAATTGTCTTAGATCCGTGAGTCCATCCGTGCCCTTTTCCCCGATAGAGAATGTTTCACACTGGTGCGCCCACTGAACAGTGAAAATGAACTTCAACGTCTTGATCAAATCCCAGTAAGCTCCATTCTCTTGTATTTTCATTATGCAACGTCTTGATCAAATCCCTGTAAGCTCCATTCTCTTGTATTTTCATTATGGAAGTACGCATATCACTGCAATAATATGTTCCTCATTTGACGCATTTCAAATTTGAAACGTTTTACCAGCTTGAGAAATTGCGCCCTGAATTTCAAGCTGGACTGGACGAATTAACAAGGTTTATTTTTGAGAGGACAAGGCCTAAGCAAGTTGCTGGTACAATCATGACAGGACCAGTACTAGCTGGTGTTACACAGTCCTTCCTGGATGCAATAAACAATGGAGCTGTGCCTACCATTTCATCCTCTTGGCAGGTACTTTATCTCTTGAGCCATGCACCTGGGCACTTGTCATGTCTGTAATATGTAAACTGATGCATATTGAACTATGTTTGTTTAGATTGATGTTATCTCTCAACTGTTTTTCTATGGTCACTTGCTTCACAAATTTAAGCTTAAGAAAACACAACAACAACAAAGCCTTTGTTTCAAACAAGCTTGGGCACGGTAGAGATAAAACCAATATGAGTCTAGCAAAACATGATTACCAAAACCAGAGAGTATGAGTAAAAATAACAGTTCATCGAAAAAGACAAGTGTCAGTGGCCATAAGAATGGTGAGAAGATTTGGTCGTGCATCATTTGGAAGTATAATGAACTGGGGTATCAATGGGAATGGGAATACTTTTATGCAAAAATTTCTGGCTCAAATGAAACACATGACAAATATTTATTGCTGTCAAAGTATCCTGGACTTTGATTGAAACAGCAGATTTGTCTTGGTGGTGAATCAATGTCAGATAAAGATATTATTAACTCTTCTTCTTCCTTATAAAAAAAAAACTACTCTTCTTGACATTATAATGAACAGCGGTAGTATGTTATGAGGCTGTTGTTAGATAAAGAGTATTAAGAAAATACAATGTTTATCACAGAATATTGGACCTGTGGTCCACGTTGAGTCGGTTACAATCATATCAGATACTTTCTTAATAATAAATACTCTCCTTGTACCATCCTTGAGTTTAAATGCCTCCTATATTTGACTGCAGAGCGTAGAAGAAGCAGAATGCCGGAGAGCATATGATTCTGCTGCTGAGGTTTACATATCATCTTTCAGCCACTGCAAATTAGCTGAAGAAGTAAGTTAAAAGGTCAATTATGCAGCACATCCTCATACATTGCAAATTGTTAACTTTGTAAATTTAGGATGCTTTAAGGGATGCACACGAAACTGCTTTAAGAAAGGCACTTGATGCATACAATACTACTGCTGTTGGAACTGGTACTTCACGTGCCCATTATGAGAAAGTTCTTAACAATTTCTGCAGAAAGGCATTTCAGGTACACTGTAGACTTGCCATTTTCATGTAGCAATTATGTAGACCCTGATTTTTCATGATATAGCTGTGTGATCTTTGGTTGCTTACAGCTGTAGAAAGTTAACTAATTCATTCTTATCTCTTGGTTGATTACATAAAGAAAACATAGCTTAATATTTCACGATATAGGTGTGTTATCTTTGGTTGCTAGTGTTTGAAAGTTAGAGCTTGAGTTTGTGTGAATTTATATTTCTATGTGAACCTTAATAAAATGTTTTTTTGTTGAGTGTTGCACCTTAAACACAGATTAAGGAGCAATTAAATATGTGCTATCTTATGAGCTGTGGTCGCGGTGATTTTTCGCCGGGTGTGAGCAGGGCTCCCCCCCTCCCCCAAAGCACTCTTAAAACATTTTTTTCTTCAAAATGTATCATGTCCAAACAAACGAAATGAGAGTAATCAGCTAGTAAGCAGAAACATTCTATGTTAACTGAAGTTCACTGAAAAAAAATACTTATTGATACCTTGTTCACCTCATTGAGGAAAAGACTTGATGTTGTTTCTCAAGTTGTATATAGTATACCTCCTTTCGTATGATTATGCATTACAGGGCCCAATAAAAAACCGTGTTTAGTAAAAGGCTTTTGCCTATGTATCTAGTATGCATAATGTCAAAACATGGTGACCTTGCATTGCCTTGAGAGAGATACTGGATGTTGGCTAGAGGAAGGAGATTGGAGAGTTTGTGATCAATCTTGGGGTCTGGTGGTGGACGTGAAGCCAGTGGGGCATGGCTTTGGCTCTGATTCTTATTCCCTCAATGAGGGGAAAGTGTTGGAACCAAAGCACAGGTTTTGGGGCTAGATTTCAGTTTGATTAGCCTTACCACAACTATGGCAGGTTGGGGATACATATAGGGTAACTTGCTTGGTCCTTAAGAAAGGATTACAACATATTCTAGAGATGCTAAAGTAGATGCTAAAGCAAGATAAGATAAAGATAAGGTGCTGACACAGCAGCCACCAGCTACTCTAGATAGGTATCCTAAGTAGATAGGCGCCTTCTGGGGAATTTGAGCCATCCCAATCCTGGCGCGAAGCTCCTGGAACTTGACCCGCCCAAGGGACTTGGTGAGAAGGGCGGCGAGCTGGTCCTGGGTGTTGATGTAGCTGGCCTTGATGCTCCCCTCATCCAAGCAGCTCCTGCTGAAGTGGTACTTGATGCGGATATGCTTGCTGCGCTCATGGAAGACGGGGTTCTTCGCCAAGGCCAAGGCGGACTTGCTGTCCACCCTGAGCTCCACTGCTTTTGCGTCTCTGCCCAGGAGATCGCCCAGCAGCCGAGCTAACCAGAGAGCTTGAGTTGAAGCGGTTGTGGTAGCGATGTACTCCGCCTCGCAACTAGACAGAGCCACCACTTGCTGCTTGACCGACTACCAGCTGATCAGACACTTGCCGAGGAAGAACGGCGTCCCGCTGGTGCTCTTGCTTGTGTTGATGTCCCAGGCGAGGTAGCTGTCGCTGTACTCGATGAAGTGTTCCGTGCCGGGACACCTCGGGTAGTGCAAGCCGTAGTTGGAGGTGCTTGCGATGTAGCGGAGGATCCTCTTGACGGCCTGCTCGTGCTCCGTCGTTGGTCGTTGCATGAACCGACTGACGTAGCCAACGGCAAACGCCAGGTCCGGCCGCATGTGGACGAGTTAGCGAAGGCTGCCCACAATGTGTCGGTACCGCGTGGTGTCGACCTCCTTCGTCGTGCTGTCGCGGCTCAGCTTCAGCCTCTCCTCCATGGGAGTGTGGGCTGGGTTGCAGTCGGTGAGCCCGCCCAACTCGACGATGCGCTTGGCGTAGGCGGTCTGGCGAAGGGAGATGTCGGAGCTGTCCTGGTGGACCTCGATTCCCAGGTAGGAGAGAAGTCCCAAGTCGCTCATCTGGAAGGTTGCCTTCATCTACTCCTTGAACGCCTCCACCTCGGCCTCGGTGATCACCAAGTCGTCGACGTAGACGCCTACCAACAGGGCATTGTCTCCCTTGCCCGGCCGGTAGGCAGCAGCCTCGTGAGGACTCTGCTGGAACCCCATTTGCTTGAGAGTGGAGTTTAGCTTGGTGTTCCAAGCTCGTGGTGCCTGCTGCAAGCCATAGAGGGCCTTGTGCAGGTGGAGAACCTTGTTCTCTTTGCCAGGGATGACGAATCCCGATGGCTAGTGGAGGTAGACTTCCTCCTTCAGGTCACCGTTGAGGAAGGCGGACTTGACGTCCATGTGGTGCACACGCCAACCCTCCTAGGCCGCCAGCGCGAGTAGACGAACGGACTCCAACCGCGCGACGAGCGCGAAGGCGTTGTCGAAGTCGACTCCCTCCTGCTGAACGAACCCGCGCACCACCAGACGTGTCTTGTGCTTGATCACCGCCCCGGCCTCATCCTTCTTGAGCTTGTAGACCCACTTAAGGGTGATGCCGCGTCTCCCTTCGACTCAGCGAAGGAGCGGGGCTCGCCGTCCGCGTGCGCCAGGTGCAGCTCTGCCTCGAAGTCGTGCATCGCCAGTCCAGGGACGGGCTGATCACCTAAGATGTTGTCCAAGGTGCGGTAGCGTAGAGGCTCGTCGTCGTGGTAGGCATCGACGCGATCCTCGTCGTTGGACAGCGGAGTGGTGAACTCCACCGTGCGCTGCTCGTCACGGACCAAAGCTGTTGGTGCCGATCTCGGAGGTGTGGGCGCCGATGCAGGAGATTGGGGAGCCGGTGTAGGAGAGCGGGGCGTAGACGGTGGTGTAGGTGGTGGACTCGCTGGTGGTGTAGGCGGTGGAGGATTCGCCGGAGCTGATGGTGAGCTGGGTACTGAGGTAGATGAGCTCGGTGAAGATGAGGTGCTAGCTCCCCCAGCTCCCTCGAAGTGGACGTAGTCGACGACGAAGTCTCTGAGAGTTGAAGTCGAGCCGTCATCCACTGCCTTGTCCCAGGCCCAGCCTCGCCCTTCGTCGAACACCGCCTTGTCGCAGGGTCGAGGATGCGGTAGGCCTTAACGCCCTCCGTGTAGCCAATGAAGACCCCCGGCATGCTCCGGTCGTCGAGCTAACCGACGTGGTTGAGCTCCTTGGCGAAGGCGAGATAGCCGAAGACGCGGAGGTGGCTCACCACTGGCTTGCGCCTGTGCCAAGCCTCGTATGGTATCTTGCTGTCGAGGGCCTTGGTGGGCGAGCGGTTGAGCAGGTGAACGACGGTCATCACTGCCTCACCCCATTAGATTGTCGGCATCCCTTTCTGCTTGAGGAGGGCGCGGGCGGTGGCCACCACCGTCTGGTTGCGACGCTCAACGATGCCATTCTGCTGCGGGGTGTACGGCGCGGAGAAGTGGCGCTGGATCCCCTCATCGGCGCAGTGCGCCGTGAACTCAGTCGCCATGAACTCGCCGCCGTTGTCGGTGTGTTGCACCCGAAGCTTGCTGCCGCACTCCTCCGCAGCAGCTTGATGGTGCTTGATGGCGTCGGCAACTGCCGCCTTGGTGTCGAGTAGGACTGCCCACATGTAGCGGGACACGTCGTCGACGAGGAGCAGGAGGAAGCGTCGGCCTCCAGGTGTGGCCGGTGTCACGGGGCCGCAGAGGTCGCCATGCACGAGCTCCAGCTTCTCCTTGGCGTGGAAGCTCGCCTGGCAGGGGAAGGGAAGCCGTTGCTGCTTGGTGAGGACGTAGGTGTAGCAGAACTGCTCCACGTGCTCGACTCGCGGCATGCCCTGCACCATCTCCTTGTTGCCGAGCTGCTTTAGGGCCTCAAAGTTGAGGTGCCCAAAACGCTCGTGCCACCGCCAGGCGTCGTCGTCGCGGCGGGCTGCAAGACACACGGGCTGCGCCACTTGCACATGGAGGACGTAGAGGCGGTTGGTGCATTTCTTCACGTTGGCAAGAAGGCGACGATGGCGATCACAGATGCGCAGGACCCCGTGCTCGATCTCCACGCGCGAGCCGTTCTCATCAAGCTGTCCCAAGCTGATGATGGAGTTCCTCAACGCGGGGATGTAGTAGACACCAGTGAGCAGCCGGTGCTTGCCGGTCTTAGCAGTGAAGACGACGGAGCCGACGCCCTTGATCTCCACGGCGGAGGCGTCCCTGAACTTGACGGAGCCTCGAAGGCCGGAGTCGAGCTTAGAGAAGAACTCCCGCCGCCCGGTCATGTGGTGGGTGGCGCCGTTGTCGAGGTACATGGGCCCACGGCTCGTCGAGGTGGAGCGCGGCGGCGGCCGGTGCTGGAGAGGAGTGCGGCTCGATGCTCCCGTGTACGAAGAACAGAGCCAGCTCGTCACCCTCCTGCGCTTGCGCGACGTGTGCCTGACCGCCGCGCTTCGCCTGCCGGCAGTCCTTGGCCCAGTGGCTAGTCCTCCCGCAGTTCTTGCAGGTGTCGTCGCGGGTAGCCTTGCGCTCGCCGTCAGGAGCGCCACCACGCGCCTTGTCCCGCTTGCGCAGCCGACGCTTGCGGCTGCTCGACGAAGCCGAAGCCGAAGAACCCGAGGCCTCCCCCTTCTTCCGCTCCCGCTAGTGGCTGAGCCACTGCTCCTCGGTGAAGAGAAGCTTGCCATCGATGGTGACTGGCTTTGAGGGAGGTTGCTGCTCGCTGTTGTCGACGGCCTTGAGGCGACCCGACACCTCGATCGACAGCTCGGAGAAGTCCAGCAACATCTCGATCGCGATGGCGACCTGCGAGTACTTCTTGGGGACGACGCGGAGGAGTTCTCGACGGCTCTCTCCTCGTCGATGTCGTTGTCGCCGTACCGCGCCAACTGCTGCATTAGGGTGTTGAGGCGGAGAGCAAAGTCGTCGACGTCCTTGCTCGGTTTGAAGGCCAGGTTCTCCCACTCCTGGCGCAGCTTCTGCAGCGTGGATCTGCGGGCGCTGTCACTGCCATGGCGTGCCGCGGTGATGGCGTCATTGGCGGTCCGCTTGGTCGCGAGGAGGACTGCATCTCCGTCGGAATACAGCAAGAAGCGCCTCCAGCGCCTGCCGATCCTCCACGAAGTCGGTGTCGCCGTA